TTTGAGACTCAGCTCACTGACCATTCAGCTGGTTGTACGGAGTCCCAAACAAAGACAAAACGACTGTCCAGTACTCCTTGATTTTCATACTGCCTTATCCTTGAAATCAGTCATACTCCATTCAACCAACACTAGAAAATAGTAATTGATAAGAAGAATAAATAAGGGTAATAAATGAAGAAGACATTGATAGCAATCAGTACACCATATAATAATCATAGTAATTCGTTAAACACAACAAAACTTACCACCTCAAATTGGTTTTTATTACGGAAAAAGTAATGTATATTTAACTATAGAACTAATACAACAGATAACGGTCAAAATATATTAGAAAATTGAACAAATGTCTAATTAATGCATATGTAGTTATTGAGAACCAGCTTTGTGTTCGAATTGATTTCTTGAGAGTTGACCAATTTTGCGGTGGACAGAATGCTGTGGAAGTCAGATTAATAATTATGTCATAGGCAATAAGATGACTGCACAAATTTCTCTCGGACACAGCTTCGATTACTGATAATAAACTTTTGCTTGTAAATCTTTATGCACAAAAACTACAGATTGAATAACTTCATCAAGAGAGGTGACTGAATGACCTAATACAACTTTGGTCTATTTTTGCTGTCCCAAAACAAAATAATTATGAACGATGCAGGGTATTTGAATGAGATAACTGGCATGATTGGCGTTCATCGGAAATTCCCAAAATTTCGACTTCTTTTAGTCCGGTGACAAAGACTGAGAAATGGTAAACTGAATCAATGAAGGGATTGAATGAAAAAGTTAGTATTTGCAAATAGTTGTGTTCTCTGAGGTGTTTGGTTGAATTGCCGAGATTTCGTCATCCTTCTGGACAGCGGTTTCGTCCTAGTTCGCGACACTTCAGAAATAAACATCCATAGCACCACTGAGGATCAGACCCAAGACTTTAGGACTTTGAGACTCAGCTCACTGACCATTCAGCTGGTTGTACGGAGTCCCAAACAAAGACAAAACGACTGTCCAGTACTCCTTGATTTTCATACTGCCTTATCCTTGAAATCAGTCATACTCCATTCAACCAACACTAGAAAATAGTAATTGATAAGAAGAATAAATAAGGGTAATAAATGAAGAAGACATTGATAGCAATCAGTACACCATATAATAATCATAGTAATTCGTTAAACACAACAAAACTTACCACCTCAAATTGGTTTTTATTACGGAAAAAGTAATGTATATTTAACTATAGAACTAATACAACAGATAACGGTCAAAATATATTAGAAAATTGAACAAATGTCTAATTAATGCATATGTAGTTATTGAGAACCAGCTTTGTGTTCGAATTGATTTCTTGAGAGTTGACCAATTTTGCGGTGGACAGAATGCTGTGGAAGTCAGATTAATAATTATGTCATAGGCAATAAGATGACTGCACAAATTTCTCTCGGACACAGCTTCGATTACTGATAATAAACTTTTGCTTGTAAATCTTTATGCACAAAAACTACAGATTGAATAACTTCATCAAGAGAGGTGACTGAATGACCTAATACAACTTTGGTCTATTTTTGCTGTCCCAAAACAAAATAATTATGAACGATGCAGGGTATTTGAATGAGATAACTGGCATGATTGGCGTTCATCGGAAATTCCCAAAATTTCGACTTCTTTTAGTCCGGTGACAAAGACTGAGAAATGGTAAACTGAATCAATGAAGGGATTGAATGAAAAAGTTAGTATTTGCAAATAGTTGTGTTCTCTGAGGTGTTTGGTTGAATTGCCGAGATTTCGTCATTCTGCTGGAGAACATGTTCTGCGGATTGTCAGCATATCATGAAGTTTTTAATTTTGCTTGAATTTGTTAATGGCGTGTCCTTGTTATCTACTTCGTGTTTGATGTTCGTCTTACATTTTTTATTGTTCGTTTTTGATTAAATTCTCTTTGTTCAATTGCAGGTTGATAAAAAATAATCAAAGGAAATATAAATCAACCATCAGTCACGAAGTTGGTATCCGGGAGACCGAATTCTTTCATTCATGTAGAATTTTTATCAGTTCATTTCAGTTAATACTTGCGTTGAAGATGTTGTCCAGAAGGATGACATAAGCTCTACAATTAAACCAACTAGCTCATAGAACACAACAAATTCCAAATCATCCCCCAGAACCACACACCTTCTCTGTAGACGATAAAGATTTATACGTGAACAATAAATCTATAATTTTCTTATTCGCCAATGTACAGCTGATGAAAGCAACTAATTTTATATGAGAAAACGTTATTAGACTAAACATCCGTGTTAATATTTCTTTATCTTCCGTAAAAGAAATTATTGTAAAATACCCAATGAATGTTCACTTCTTATGTAATCACCAGACTTGTTGATAGCGTGACTACAAAGCCATCCCTAATACCAATAATGTCTGAATATGCGATGATGAATGTTCGAAAGATGTAACTAGTAAACTGGAATTCTAGCTCAATTATATTGATAATACATCATCGATGATATTGGATAGTTGGAAAGGACCAAAGAAAGGACTAGATACATCGCACTAGTTACTAGTGTCCAATCAAAATATATCATCGATTTAGAAAAGTTTTAAAAACAGTGGATATCTTTGACGAATTTAATGATCTGCATTCTTTATTAAATCTTGATGTTGAATAGAAAAGAAATAACAATTTTCATTCTTAGATGACCTTACGACTAGGAAAGAGAATGATACAATAGGACGGAGTGGGTATAAATATGATTTTACCCATATTATGGGATTTACACCCATGAAGTATAAACGCACTTCAATTTCAATGATTACAGCATAGAGCTAGATGAATCATCTTTAAAGACTGTATTAATGACAAGTTCAAAATTATTTGAGGACCGTTTAGTAAGATGGTTATCTAGAAATGTCTTTTTTGGTAAAGATACGAATTTGCCGTCGAGGCAAGTTAATATTTCAGCAGCTCAAAATAAGTCCTTATTCCTAAATCTACAGTTTCTTAAGGATAACATTTGTGAAATAGCAACACAATATCCAAGAAACGTGTTTTAAACAGAATTCACTGCAGCAGAGGTAAGCTGTCTCTTGAAAACTACTGCAATTTTTCTTCCTAGAAATAAGGATGAACTAAATAATTCCACTGGGATCATATGTATCTTACTGTCACACAACTCATGTACAGCTCTTTACGGTTACACAAAGCACTGTTCATCGCTGTCATCTAACATGGTCAAGTAAGGGACAAACAACTCCATGCGTAGCTATTTACGGCATTCCTCATAGATACTGAAATACTTGAACATTACCCGCCTTTTCTCGATTAATTTTAATTTTGCTTTACAGGTTCCTTTACTACATATAGTTGAATCCATCAGAGTTTGCCTGAAGTAGTTAAACCTGTATTTTCAGAAAAAAGTAGCACAGCCAACTTTCTTATTCAGACCATCATTCAGTTAATGTGATACTGTGATCAGATCCTATCCTCCTAAATCATTTACAAGTTACTACTATCTTGACTATCTTTTCATTCTACCAACTTTATCATTACTTTTTTCAGAAGTAATGAGTATGAACATTTATTGATTCCTATTGTTTGTCTCTAAGATGGGATGCATCATTTAGACATTTGTTTAAATTTCGCAAATATTTCTACCGTTCAGTTGCCACATTAATTTTCTTGATTTTATTTGTTACTGAATCTAGTGTTACACTTGTGCATATTAGAAAATGCATGGCATTGCAATCTGTTAAGTGAAACGGCACGATATTGATTTAAAGGAGATCGATGCTGTCACTAGCAATTATTCTAAGTGTATAATCGATGCATGACAATAGAACGTGATGACAAAATTACTAGAAACAATGATATTTAGTTAATCTCTTTGCCTTGCGAATTCAACTAATGACCTGCAGTATATATATATTAGCAAATAATGCAAGCCGATTCTGCATGGATCTCAGAATTGTGGGCCACATAAAAGACGCGAATTTATTTTGTAATTTTCAAAGCTTGCAATGGCTATTTGTTCCCTTATTTATCTATTTACCAGTCGTTCAATTTAATACCATACACAGGTTTTCCAGATTGTATATTTACTGTTTAAACTTGTGAATATCCGACAATCTCTGCTTATAAATTTAAGTGGATATATATAAATATATCAAGTGTTGGCTTGAGTGAATTTGATCTGATTGGTTACAGGTCTGATCACTGGCTGACTTCAACTTCAGAATCATTGAGAAGCCTGGGAGTACTGGACAGTTGCCACTTTCCAGTTTGTGACCCTTCGTCAACATGTACCCGGTGAAGTTCGAAACCAGGACCTTCTAATTGCTAGTCAACCTCATAAATCATTCAGCCACTAAGACCCAATCCAATGAAGATATTTTTCCAAACGGTGAATCTGTCAAACTAAAGACACATTTTTGATCCAATTCCACCAAATGTTTGTTGGCTTTATTTTAGACGTTCAGGGCATTTCTTCGGAGTTGTGTTCACGGAATTTCGATGGAGAACGTTTTCAAAGTTTGTTATAATTTTTCAAGGTGTGTCATTCGTTTTCTCAATATCTAAACAACCTAAGTGTATTGGACATCACCATGAGGTTTCGTTTCATATCACGTTTTACCGAAATGAAAATGGATATCACTTAAGGGACCTTAAACAGTTAAGCTAAAGATCTAAATTCATCACTGTTACTTTATTTGCTGTCACGTCGACCTAGATGTGGCATCCGAAATAATACAAAAGTTCGTGTAATACTGCGAATTGTCCTAATGATGTCACATAAACTTCTCCCTACTAAATCACCATGATAACTGTCAGTGCTTTCAAACTATGAAGCTAAATCTTCAGGATGACATAACAGCAAATATATCATGTTGACAATGAAACGCCGAAAATCGTTATCTCCATGTGTACGATTCATCATCAACCGGGAGGTGTAAATTTATCATCAGTGACTTCACATCTGAATAACCTGAGATTGGGAACCAGTAGTTATTCATAAATTTACGACAAATGACTTACATTCTTTTGTGATTTTCGCAACTATGTAGACACATATAAGTTATTAAAAACGTATTCATTTATGTATTATTAGTCAGTTATATTTCAACTGAAATCATCCTTGTAAACTCCATCTATAGTGACTAAATGATTTGAAAAGTGTGCATGAAAATAAGCCATGTATTTCTCCAATAATGATATTGTATTTTTACATTCCTCTACTCTTTATCTTTGGACAGTATAAATTAAAACATTCTGTCTTTATTGTATACTGACAGTCAATTCAACCTAAGTCATCACACTTTGAAGATTTTCAATATTTTTTGTTACCAAAGTTATCACAGCAATCTCAGCCTAATATGCTGAAAGTAAAAAAATACTTACAGGCATTTATTTTGTTGGCTTTTGAATTATGAAAACGTTTGACAAAAACATTGTTGACAGTTAATACTTGTAGATGACAACATGTAAACCGTGCACAACGGGATTTGTTTGATTTCATAATGAAATTGTAAGAAAACGACATATTAAACAGGATCCTTCGATAATGTTGTTAAATTGAAACAAAATGAAGTTGAATTCTCATTGTCTTCACAGATAATATTCATGTGCTTGTCAATTTTCAGCAGTGTTCATCGTTACTTCACTATCTGCAAGAAAGCAGGTCAAATGTAGTTAATGATGATACACTCATTATATTCCTGGATTTTACAAGTGAGACATCAGTTTACCTGATGTGGCGAGCTTTTTCTCTTAACTTGTAAGATAATCGGTTTTTGGAAACCATAATCTTGTATTCAGTTACTTAGAGAAAAATAACATACAAATGAACAGTGTTGGCATAAAAGCATACAAAGAGAATTTGGTTTATGGACTTACGCGCTTATGGTCAATAGAAATTGTGTTTAAAATACGGTGAGAATAACTGTCTGCAGAAAAGACCACTTATATCTGCACACTGATCAACTGGGTTAGTTTTCAGTATGAAAATCACTCTGATTTGTATATCTTCACACTTTAATAATCATAACAGTTTTATTCTGGACAGTATTTATATAATGTACAGAATTTTCAGAGGGGTTTACTGCATGATATTTTCTCTTCGTACAATATCATCAAGTAAAATATTGACTGGTAGTATAGTATAGTCTGTGACACAATGCTCTCTGAGCTGAAGCACAAAACATCCCATTATGATATTTCTGCTTTGTCGCTTTCAAGAAATCCCCAACATCTAGTTGAAAGCCAGTTGTAAGAAGTTCAGAAGTACATTTCGAAACTCAAGGACTAAACTAAGGAACAGATATCTCATGCATTGAAACACACAACCACCGACAATAAGGCCTTTTCTCAAGTTTAGCAGGAAATTGCTAAACCGATGCTTGCAAACATTTTAAATGCAGTCAAGAGAAGATACCATTAGAGGTCATATCTTAACCGATTAAAACAACGTGAATGAGAGAAAATATATGCAGTTGGCAGTTTTTGGTGGCCCAAGTTTTAAGCAGGCCGCCTCACTATAACTGTGTTGTCATATAATGTAGTGCATTCCGTATGATAAATATATAAATCCTTTGTTAATTTGATGAAATTAAGAAAAATCTTAAAAATACAGGCGTCATGCAGAGGAAACTTCTAACTGACTCTGGAAATGACATGCAGCCACCAAAATAAATGATCAGTGGAGTCTACAGAAATCGAAGAAAAATCAGAATGTAATGAATAAGTAATGTCAAACGAAATTTCTCCTGAAAAGTTATTTTTGGACCAGGAAGTGACCAATCATTCCTCTTTCAGCGAAGTAGTCATAAGTATTTACTATAAAATTTATGGGTATCGCGTAATTACGAATTCCTGTTCTCATCAAAATGTATACTTAATAAAAATAACCTTGATGATAAATATTTAAAGCTATCAGGTCTTTGGCAAAGAAGAGTCAAAGACTTCATAAAGTTGAAAGGATTCCAGCTGAACACGTATCGACATAACTCAACAGATAGATCATAGTTTTGACAGTTTATGTGAATGAAAGGTGTAACTTACTAACATCCGATGGATCTGTATTGCACAAAAGTATATATAAAATTAAAATAAATGCCTGAAATTATCGGCAGCGAAATTCGTAAGAGAATTGAATGATATATTCACATTCACCATTAGTTCTCCTGATAACAAACTATTATGGTAATCACTTAACAGTAATACAGGATTTCATAAACGCAACCTTGTTTAATAGTTTACTATCCTATCTCGCATCATGAAAAGGAGATATGATTGGCTGTGAGCCTCAGGCACTGACAACCAATCTCCTTTGAAATCATGACAATATAATTTCGACTGAACAGGAAGAAAAGTTACAATTATACAATGCTACACAACTACTAACAACGTATGCCAAGAGAATAACAGAGACTCTAACAGATAAGTGTGAACAGTAAAACAGACTGATGCTAAATCGAATTTCAGCTGGTGGTATCAACGCAAGCAAAGCCATGATCAAACAACACTGGAAGAGAACTCATCATGATCGGGGATGATATCAGCGAAATGACTGAAAACAGAAGACTCTTTGCAAACTTCTGCACTACTAAAATCTACTGATTGGAAGTATTGTGGAAACTAAGGATACTGGAGACAAGATTGAGAATTTAGGAGGGTGCATATTCATATCACCTTTACAAACTTTAAATTATTTCACCATATATCATGCATGATTAGTTAGTTATTTTGCTCATGTGTAAAATCAGATTTAGTTAATCCTTATTAGTTTGTCTGAGTGTTTTGTTGAAATTAGTGACATCATCTGCCTACACTTTATTTTTACATTTCATTTTTATGTGTGTGAAAAGATTTCTCAGGCACACTATCTAAGTTAATGATACTGGCATATTTCAAACAATTATCTCAAAAATACTTATATGAAGAATTATCTAGCCTTCATTATGAATTATATAAAATGAACGTGCTGTGCAGGCCATAGCTTCTTCGGTACAATTGTAAAATGCCTAAAACTTTGTTTAGAATCTACTTACTCTCCCTTAAAGACAAACTATACTGCCAATATCTTTGTCTGTAGCAGGTCTTCGTATGAAAAGTGTAGAAGGAAAAGTACTGACAAGTCTTATGTCATCCTAGAATATATATTATTATTATTGGATCCTTTAATTGCTGGAGGAACATAGGGCTTCAGCCATGTGTCTCCATTGCGTTCGGTTCTCTGCTAGAGTCTTCATCTGGCTCCATGTCTGACCACACGTTTTCATCTCCTCTTCACATGACCTCCTCCAAGTCACCCTTCGACGACCATCTCGCCGCTTCCCTTTCGGGTTCCACTCGAGCAATGGCTTGTCTAGTGATGTCACTTGGTGATTTCCTCAGAGTATGGCCAATCCATCTCCATTTCTTTTTGCCTATTTGTTTCACAATCGGTTCCTGCTGTGTTGGTTCGCTCCCAGAGATCTCTGTTGCTGATCTTTTCTGACCGGCCATCTGGTCTTGAGTATTGAGCGAAGACAACTATTAACGAAGGTCTGTAGTTTGTTTGAGATGCTCCTTATGACGCGCTGGCCAAGTCTCTGATCCGTATAGTGAGTAGCAGCGACTTCACATTGTTGTTGAAAATCCGGATCTTATTTTTGACGCTGAATACTGTTGACCTCCACACAGACTTGAGAGTAGTGAAAGCTTGCCTTGCTTTCCCAATCCTTGCTTTGATATCCTCGTCAGTTCCGCCTGTAGTTGAAACGATGCTTCCCAGGTAGGTAAAATAGGTTGTTTCTTTCAGGTTCCTCCCATTTATGCTGATTGTTTTCTGTTGTTGTTGCTGTTGGTGATGTTGCCCAGGAATATTCATTACCTCTGTCTTCTCTATGTTCACTTGAAGTCCTATCTTTGATGCTTCCGCTACCAACTTGTTGCTTTTCGCTTGCATATCTTCCAGTTTGTGGGAAATCAGACATATATATCATCGGCGAAGTCCAGATCCTCCAAGTTTTTTGTGTGAGTCCATTTTATGCCTGTTTCTTTATTGCCAGCTGTTTGTCGCATCATCCAGTCCACTGCAATCAGGAATATCATTGGCGATAGTAGGCAGCCTTGTCTCACTCCTGTCCTCACTTCGAAGGATTCCGCAAGTTTCCCGTTGTGGATCACTTGGCATGCAGCACTGTCGTAGAGCTGTTGGATGAGATGTATAATTGTCGGTGGCACCCCGTAGTAGCGAAGTAGTTGCCAAATCACCTCTCGATCGACGTTGTCGAAGGCATTTTCAAAGTCGATGAAGTTGAGATATATATATTATGTATAACATAATATATATAATACAATATATATTATAGTACATATATATGTATATAGTACAAATATGTGAATGACACATTTATCTTTATTAAGAAAGCTGAAAACGGAAACTTTCTACAACACATTAACTCAGTCTCAAATTATATAGCTTACTAATGAAGTTGTGCGGTTTGCATGTTCGCCGACCATGCACATGATCCGGGGTTCGATAACCGGCCGACGCACTCCTTTGCCTCACTTATCCAGTAATAAGACACGTAACGAGGGAAGGTTGGGCATGAGACTAGCAACCCGATCCTTAAAAATAAATACTGCTACTGAAACTTCAAGCCTCCAGCTTGAAGCCCTATGTTTCACTGGGAACGTGAAGGAAATAAATAAATAACTAATGAAGTTAAACTGAGTGAGAGAACACTTAACTTTCTGGATTGTCTTGTTAGAGCAAACTGACGACAAACTAAAGTTCACCCTATTCAGGAGACAGATACTTTCAAAAAATATTTTAATTTGCGATCGGATTATCCAATAAGACAGCTTTGGTGGAAGTTAAAGATATGTTTCTTGAAATGACACAAACCATCTGTGTTCATAAGATAAAGTGTTCAGAATATGAGGCTTGCTATATAGGGGAAACAAGTAGACAAGTGAATGTTAGAGTGAATGCACACATACTGTGCACGAAACGTTCTCCAAAAAATGCAGTAGAATTAAAGTCTCGAAATGAAATCAGCCATAACAACTCATGCTATAGACAATGGACTTAAGATCGATTTCGAAAATATCAAAATTCTGGGGAAAAGCTTTCATTCACATAGAGAAAGACTAGTCTCTGAAGCTTTGCATATTTTAACCACATCGAGTGCAACAAATATAAGAGAAGGGATAGACTTTTCATCTATATGGCAGACTCTAATGACACAAAACAGAAGAGAGAAAATAAAAATGTATTCAAGTGTTGATTCGCAGGCATTCGGCCGGTTACAGGATTTTCATCATGGTCTGACATATGTTACAGAACCGTTGGAAAATCAGTGACCAATGAAAAGCTTTTTCGTCCTTGTTTGGACCAATTCAGTAGTACGCACCCAAAGGGGTTCTAATTTATAAATTTCCTTTTACAAGACGAGTCACTCGGACACTATCCAATGGACAGTGAGCTCTGACTCCACCCAATTCACGATATACCGCAACTGTTAGCTAATGCCATCGGCTAGTAACTGTCTTGACACCCATCCTCTTGTACCACACTAGTCAAGACTTCCCATATGTTACAATCTGTCATTAGGCATAACAAATACAGGATGAATGTTCACAGTTTTCTGTTGGTACAAATGTCCATCAACAAGTGACCTTCAATTTATGTAATGTTTTGACTTTGTATTCTGATGTTAAATAAACTTCGAATGATTTTGCTTTGGCAGCCATGACTTACACGGCGAAACGCTCCGAGAAGTTTTGTTTTGACTTTATCGCAGACACACTGAGACTATTTCAAATAGTTTATAATGATTCGCACTTACTCGGCGTTCAAATTATTTCAGGAAATTCTTAACATCTACGGTATGGACACATATTTAGTCTTCAGTTTCATTTCTTCATTTTAGTGCACAAACTGAACTTTAGATTCATTCGGAAAGGGGTATGCTAATATGGTGCACTAACTAAAGTAATAACGAAATGAATACAAAGAAAAAAGGATGTCTTTATAAAATACAGTCCTGTAACCAGAGCATTCAATATATATCACTTCATTAAATGTGAAAATATAAAGGTGAAATAATGCATTTTCATAATATGTGAGCCATAAACAAAAACATTTGCATACGAGAATGACACACAAATGAGAAAGGACAGCAGCTGTACTTACAAATATAGTCTAGAAAGGTGAAAAAAATGAGGAAATCAAATTGATAGATAAACTTCTATAAAGTAGAACCTGAGGAAGGATGATAAATTGTATTTCGCTTAAATGAAACTAATTTATTCCACTGAAAATGAAATACTTCGGATAACTGTATAATAACTTGAAAGTTTAGAGACGTAAGAACGTCAATCTCAAAATCAACTCCATTGAGAATTTGATGAATGAGGTGTACTCAAAGGGTGTACATGGAAACAAAATAATATACAGAATTACACAAGTTAGAAAAATAAGCATACAAACAGAAGTAAGGTCAAATCAAACAAACAAAGAAGAGTTGGGTCAAATCAACGGAGTTTTTACCATGCGAGTAGAAGTGGTTGGATGATTTTCTTTTGTATGCATAGTTCTGGTTCCAACAACTGGATGGCTGTGGCTTCTGCGATGCAAAGAAGACGGAATCGTACTGTCTTTGGGAGGTTGTTATTCACTTTGTAGATCACTTTGAAGGAGGCGTTCGTTGAGATGGAATGACCAGTGTTGACAATCTCGAATCAAATGCGAATAAAGGATGATATTTTGACAGAATTTATCTGTCACCAGGCAAAGTATCCGCGAAACTAAGGCATTCAACATTTGTGGCTAAATCAGCGTAAGTGCATAAGGCTAAGATAACGAAAGATCATTAACTCAGTTGTGTCAATATTGAATGAATTTTGAACAACCAGGCAAAATATAACGGTCTTCGATTCCTTTGTAAATAACAAATTCTACTTTGTCTAGCTGCTTATTTTTCATGAGGAAACTTGAGCAATACGTTGTTTCATAAACTTTGAAGCTGCAAACTTGAACCTGTAACCGTCTGAACCCGTAAAATTTTTGAAGCTACTCAAAGGCTTATACAACACAGTATGTGACTGTATCTCAGTTGCAGTGAGCAAGTAAAGAATTCAGAAGGACGGAGCAACCAAAAAGGTAGGATGTGAATCTTCTTTGTGACTGGTAAGGATTTCTTTATCTATTGAATGACTGTTTCAATAGGTGTTCCCTGCTTCACTTGCCCCTGCCACACTTTCGGAAATTAAGGTTCATAAACAGCAATAATCTACTGCAATATAACGAGTCGTCGGTCGATAATCTGAATAATTATTTTCATCGAAATGTTGGCTCTTAAACTGTAACTTTTGTTACTGTAACCATTTGTGCTGTCGATGTCTTGTCATGCTGGTTTATTTGTCAGTGTAACATTAAATCTCAAAGTCACCAGCTCGTCTTCTCATATTTATTCTAGTTGATTGAAGTTCATAGTATTCTGAGTTGCGTCTGTTGATCTTCACGCAGCGGCATAAGCTTGAGGATCGATGGGTTGGGAGTCATTGAAACGGGTGCATTTACACAAACATTTAAAATATATGAACAAGACGCATTCGGATTTACAACATACGAACAAAGATTTCTGCGAGAATCGCATGCAAATGAAAAAGGAGAACAGTTGTGCTTACAGTTACCGTCTTTAAAGAACAAAGATGTAAGGCGATCAGATACATGAACTTTTATAAAGTGAATCATCAGGAAGAATTATAAAATTATTTCACTCAAATGAACCTAACTAATTCCACCGAAAATGTAAGTACTTCAAATAATTGTAAATTAACCTGAAAGTCTAGCAACATATGAACGTCCAGATGGCCTAAACTATCGAAGACGTCATAACCACTGTTAAGTTATAAAACATTCAGCAGTTTAAGTCTTAATTACTGAATTTGTATTGAAAATTTGCAATGCAACGTTTACTACACTCACACTTCGACCCAACTGTCAAAATTCAAATATATTCCAAAGAATAGTGTGTGAAAGGATTACGTTTGTTTTATAAAATATAGGCATTAAAGATCACACAATATGTTATCCTGATGCAATCCTCCAGTGAGGTTGTAAATGAAAGACGCTGGGTGAAAATTTCTCTTGCTTCCTTCGTTCATGATCACTTGTGTTCTTTGTAGTGTAGTGTAACAATATTTTTTATTTAAAACTTTTCCTCAGGTTGATTCAAACAAATTATTTAGCGATGCAAAAATGTATGTTCGGCTGCAAAACAGTGACCTGATGTTCAACGGTTTCTTCCCACTAGCTGAGTGTTCCAGTCTCTAATGGCAGAATGATGCGTGTTTTTCGACTAGGTCCATTTTTATGCCCCTCAAGACTCAATTTTTTATTTTGGTTCCAATAATATACGTCATGTTTTGAAGTACCCTTCATGTTACTATTCCCGTTGGATTAACACGATGTCTGAAAGCAAATATCAGACATGATTTGGCGGAAATGATGATGTGATAACGCAATACTTTTAAGAAATTCGATTCGAAACAATGTGTTGATTCTGTCTGGATAATAACTGCTTTACAAAATTTGCTGCTCTGTGACATACATTTCACAGCGCCTACAAACATTTAAATTATTGCTGTCGAGATGAGTGTATAAATTCGAGCTTGCTGACTCAGTTCATCAAGACTATTAGCTGATTGCAATTCATACTTCTTTAAGTTCTACAGAGAGTATCCTTCACATTAGGAATAGAGGTGGAGAGGTATTTCAGGTGAAAGACTCTGGAGTGTCAGGTTTATAAGTGGTTAAACAACAATGAAGTCCAATTAATCTGTAATCGTAAGCGACTTTTGAAGCTGAGTGATATGTATCTGTTGAATTCTGAAGTAGACTAATCTTAGATCAGGAAATGTATTATATATATATAATACGGTGCAAAAAATGCTACTGCTGCTTATAAAATCATTTCAGCAAATATCATTGAATAACACTCCTGAGTACATTTTTAGATTCACATTCATCATTTACACACAAAGTGTTTCACGATACACCGAACGAGGGGAAAATGCATTCACCCTACGATAATTCAACTAAATCTCATATTCATGAGAAAAAATTTAATCCATCCGAGTATAATGCAGAAGAAGACGAATTATGCACATCAAACATTTGTGAGAATTATATGTGAAAATATTGTTATGTGATAAATGGACTCACATGCTAATTATAACAGATGAAATGCATTTTAAAATTATCACTTTGATATTGGTTTTGTTTAATAAACTGAAACGATATTTATAGGCTGTTGTTTATATTTACGCCCGTATTTGTGACAATGACAACTGTTATATCCATTAAAGAAGATATGCGTCAATAACTAGTAGATGCATGCCAGATATGAATACGTCGTCAATCATACTGTCACTCATTCGGTGATGCACACTGGAGATAATGATGATTTATGCAAATGCCACCATTTTTCAGATCATTATTTTGAAATAACAGTCGAAAAACTGTTTCATTTAAGATATCCACCACAGCATTCATAAAATGTTTGACAAAATGTTAAAATCAAAACCATCTTCTCTTAGGAAAATGTTAGGCTCCAAATTCGCTTCCCATTACACGATTTTCTTGGAGAAAACCTGTTCATCTTGGAATTCTCCTGAAAACACTGATAACGCAAATGTTTCGCTAAAAGTCTACAGGTACAGAAATGATTTTAAGGATGCGCAGTTTCTTAGTTACTTCCTGGTATAGATGATAAAAACGTTTAAACGAATATCAAGAAGAGCAATTCAACTTGCATAAAACAAAACTAATATCGTTCAACATGCAAACTCCACCTGTAAGCATCTTTGCCCATCAAGAATGCCCACCTTCAACATTTTTATTTTAATTAGTCCATGTAGCGATGGATGTGACGCTAATAGTCATCCACAACACAAAGATTTGCTTGTCACGAAGGAACTGTATACTGATAACGGATTCTTCCAAACGCATTGATAGGAAGTCACAATATGTTTAATATGTTATTAGTTCCTGTCAGATAAGATAGGATATTGTGTGTCTTGCACCCACTCTGAATTTAAGGATGGAGTGGTTGATTGTGTTGACCACTTCACCTATCTGGAAGGTTGCTTCAGACCTATTGGATTGAAATCCCAGCTAGGATACAAAAGTCTGTTTTTGAATTTTGTAAACTGACCTCATCTCTTGAGTATGCAGTTCGCACTGTCCTTCTTTACGACTGGACACTTGGTGTCGGAAGGTAGTTGTTAAAAAACTAGATTCGTGTGACTCTGTCTCTTACACCTACATATTAGGTGGTATAGTATGGTCAGACGTAGTGGTGGGTTGTAATGGAAGTTCTACAAGTTAGAATGACTGGCATTTGTTTTACACATGCCGTGATATTGCTTCCCTTGTTAGCCGACGTATGATAGTGTTACAAATTCATTAGCGGTAACCAGGCTGAAAAAATGGAGTCAATCAATGATAACTTTGGGTGATGGCGTAAGCCACAATGGACACAGAAGCACCACTGTTTCATGCCCCATTGATCAACCATATCCCACAATTATTTTTTAAAATTTATTCCTTCAGGGTCCAAATGAAACATGGGGCTTCAAGATAAACCTTTGAAGTTTCCATAGCTAGGGTTTCACTTTTACGGGTCTAATCTCCTATTCACATGTCCAACTGTGCCTCTTTACTGAACTTGCCACCGGCTAGGCGAGATTTATGAGTGCATCAACTGACAACTGAAACCTAGACCACATGTAGGGCTGGCGGGCGCCATGCGAATGTGACATACGAATTCCCATTATTCTCCATTAAACTATCGTATCTCTCACTAATTTGTGGTTACTAAAGTTTGTTATCATTCACTTTCTTTCTCGTCTTACACGTGCTGATTATGAAGAGTGAAAACTTGATGTCTTGCACTTAAGATCAAAGTTCTTCGCTGAAAATTCAATTCATTTTCTCAATGCCATGTGTTCATGTTAGGATGATCTGACAGGAACACAGTATTCCAACAGTGACTATACCACCGAGAGAGAAAATCACATGAAGTGTTACTTTCTGTTCATAACAAATATCATATTTGTTTGATAATACTAAAATATCAGCGGCCGTATCGTTCACAGGATTCCAGTATTCATAATTCTCTCAGACGAGACCAATTTTGAAAGTGTTTGTGAAATATCTGACTGCAAAACTCTCTTGAATGTG